TGTTAGGTTCACAGTTGAATTAATATAGTTATACAATATTGAACTCAGTGTAAACCCTGTGAGACATAAAACTGAATTAATTTTTACCCTTTAAAGAAGATCTCCATTTCATTTTAAACTATGCTGTTTCCTACATTTTTACTGCTACTAACACTTAGATGTTTGCACATTTGTCTTTAATCTCTATGCATCTGATTATTACTAGTCACAGTTGGTTACACTTGGAGCCTTAGTACCCGAGTATGGATATAAAGTCATCAGGTAGATTTCACTGGTAATGTCTATCACCTCTACTGTTTAACATGAAGTACATTCTTATGCTTCCTCCTCAAATATGTCTTTTTTTTATTTGTTGATTTTTTTGTGTGTGTATATCATAGAGAACATCCCACATAATCTTATTCATCTATATACCCACTTTCCATATGGCACTCTCCCATAGCCTCCCCTCTCCCACACACTGGAGCCCATATACTCACTCTGTCATCCCTATTACTGTCCACTGTGTTGTTGGCACCCCCAGCCATTCCCCAGTGCTTGTCTGTCTGCTGAATCTAGTCAGCCTATCTAGAGATCCTTGTTTTAGGAAGATCAGCTGTTCCTCATCTAGCAACAATCAGTTGTCAATATTCCTTTAGATAAGATTGGGGTCTGCTATTTATTTTTCCAGTTCTATGCTGGGTTACTGTCTGGGAGTCTTTTCGGCCAGCCTGGCCAATAACTCAAAGGAAGGTATCTCCTCTCTAGCATTGTTTCTTGTACAGCCTTTAGCTATACATATGGAGTCTTAAAAATTATATTGACCCCATTAATCTTTGGTTATACTTTCCTGTTGGGGCTAAAGACCCTACAATTGGCCCAGAAAAACCAATTTACTTTTACTGTTAAGGTCATTTGAGGATCTGTTCCCCAGGGGTCACATGGGCTTGGGAGGAGTCCCTGGCTCCTTTCTTTTACCAATTCTGTCTATGTGAAGATAAGTCAAAGGTCCTGATCAACCATGGCTGGCTTTGCTTGGAAGCATTTTTTAAAATGCAGTTTTTCTTTAATTATAAGACATATTTAAACCTCTGATCTTCAGATCAGACTTTGAGTTTGAAATCGGCTAATTTGGCTCAAGAAATGAGGCTGAGCTGTGGGCCTCTTGTCTGTATCCCAAGTACTCCATACAAGCACCCACTCAACTATTTTCAAGATCAAAGAAACAAGTTAATTCTACTCTGTGTTAAGGAGTTATTAACAGATCTCAATCTCACTTCCCATGGGTATATGGGATTTTCTAACTATATCTTCGGTTGCTTCATTTTTTAATGAAATTGTTCAATTGAAAAAAGTCAATAAAGTATCCATTTTTCTTTCCTGTATTCTTACTCATTTTTACATCAGGCTTTTCTTTTTGTTTACAATCAAAGCCAATTCATGATTAAGATTATATCTTAGGGATCAGAGAGAGGGCTCGGCAGTTAAGAGAACTGGCTGTTGAATTCCCAGCACCCACATGGCGGCTAACAACTGTCTGAATCTCCAGTTCCAGGGGATCCGAGGCCCTTTTCTCACCTCCTCAGGCATTGTGGAGATTATGTGCTATACTGCTTTTTTTGCATAAAATGGTTTTCTTTTGAAGTTGTGGGGTGCTGCAATTGGTGTACCAGTTGATGCACATGCTAGAAATTATAGCAACAACTCATAACAACTGACCCACTTGAGTAGATGGGTCCCTAAGAGGATCAAGGAAAAGGGACTCTGAAAGCAAGCAACTAATTGGTTTTAAAAACCACTGCTTTTGTAACTGTGTTACTGGTCATTGTTATCTCTAGACTAGACATTTAATCTGCTATACAACAATGCTGGCCCTCGCTTCCTTAACTAGTTAACTTATGAAGCAAAGTCATTCAGGCCTGTAACTGAGATTTAATCACCTTTTTCTCCATGCCTTTCACCTCTTCCAAGGTTAAAATATAAGAACTACAAGTAATGCATGGCTTTATTGTGATATAAAAATTAATAATTTATATTAAGCATCATTTTAGAGAAAAGGTTTTCTATTTGAATCTAACAGAAGATGAAAATCCAAGTGCTCATTTCATTGAAATGTATTATTAAAAATGCATTACCTGGTAAAGTAATTTTTTAAAAAATACTTGGGTTAACAGTTTATATTTTCATCAGCTTAATTTTCTAAAATTCTGAACAGATCTTACTATTTCTATTTTTCGCTAGTATAAAAGAATAGCACAGCCTGGGTCTTTGTAATTAAACAACAATCTATTTGGCTCATGGTTCTATTAAGTTCAAGAGCATGGTCCTCCACATGGTGAAGACCTTTATATTGTATCATTACAGGGCAGAAAGTGGAAGGGAAGAAAGGGTGAGAGTAAGAGAGAACCAAAGTCAGGTTTATAGCAAATGCACTCTTTCAATAACTCACTCTCAGTAATGACATTGATTCAGTCATTCATCCATTCATAAACACATACAGCCCTTATGACCTAACCACCTCTATTGGGTCATACCTCTCAATGATACAGCATTGAAAATTAAGTTTCCACCACATAAACTTTGGAAAACACTATCAAACCATAGCAATCAATTGATACTATGTTCCAAGCATTTTGCTAAGTTCATTTGGTCTTTATAGCAAGGTCATGGTGTGAGCACTCTCACATCTGCTTAGAGGAGGAAAAGGCACTCTTATCATCCTCTTGCTGATGGAACCACTGCTGAGAAAGGTGAAATGATGTGCCCAAAGTAGAAAGTGGAAAAGATGGGCATTGAACCTGGGCCTGATTCCAAGGCTTGTTGTCATAATTTCTACTCTATAGATATGACAGATGTGCAAAATATTTGCCATATCTGCATGAACAGAATTGTATTTCCAAAGAAAATATCAGTACCCACAATTTGACAAAAAAAAATCCTTTCCCTAAAGTTAGATTTACATAACACATTTTTTAAAAAGTATAAATATAGGCCGGGCATGGTGGCACATGCCTTTAGTCCCCAAACTCGGGAGGCAGAGGCAGGCGGATCTCTGTGAGTTCAAGGCCAGCTTAGTCTACGTAGTGAGTTCCAGGTCAGCTGAGGCTATAGGGAGACCTTAAAAAAACAAAAACAAAAACAAAAACAAAAAAACTCTAATCTCCTAGGCATTTAACCAAACATTCAACAACTTTTATAGGTTAAATGTAAATTGGAAACATAATGGACTATGATCTATATCTTTGTAAGAGACTATGATAAAGTGATAGGCTTCAAAGTGTGCTCTTAAAATAGCTTTTAAGGCTAGAGGTATAGCTCGGTGATGTGACAGTTGCCTAGTATACACAGTCCTTGATTTGATCCCTAGGACCAAGTAAAAATGTTAATTTTAAGGGCTAGAAAGATGGTTTGACCAGCAAAGTATTTGGAAGATTGAGTTTGGGTTCCCAGCCCCCATGTAAGAAGCCAGCTGTGATGGTGCATGCCTATAATCTCAGCACTCAGGAGGCAGAGAAAGGAAGATCCCTGGCCAGCTATCTAACCCAGCCAAATCAATGAGCTCCAGGATCAGTGAGATACTGCCTCAAAACATAAGGGGGAATGTAACTGAGGAAGACAACTAATGTTGACCTCTAACCTCCATATACATGTGTACACACACCCTCACACAAAAATAGTACATAAGTGTGAGCAAAAAACTGTAGATTTTTGTTTTGTTGTTTATTTTGTTCAGGGTCTTTCTGTAGTACCAGCTAGCCTGGAACTCATTATGTAGACAGAGGTCTGCCTGCCTCTGCCTCCTGAGTGCTGGGATTAAAAGCATGCCCGACCACACCTGGCCAAAAATTTAACTTTAAGTTAAAATAATCTTACTAGTTTGTGAACATACCTCCTCTAGCTTTTTTTTTTTTTTAAAGAAATCAAGCTATTAAATTGCAAATACCTCAGTTTCTGTCAACTAAATGTAACTCATCCTCTTACTTGCCTTAAAATGTTGGAGGACTCCCCCTGTGAGTGGATGAATGTGTGCGTGTGTGTGTGTGTGTGTGTATGCAATAGGAGGACAAATTTATCCTGGAAATGATATAATGGTTCCCAGATGTTCCGCCCACCCTCCCAAGTAAAAATGTAGTGATAGCTAGGTATTATTAAGTGAGCATGATGTCATTCCTCTGGTTGTTATTGACACAAAACTTCCTTTTGTCCAAGAAAAATTTCAGTACTGGGAATATGGCGTTAATTAATAGATACACTGATTGCTTGTTAGTTTGGTCACAGAGACTTCTCTGTGCTTTATTGTGTGGATTGTGTGCAGACTACAGTGAAACATAAAACATCCATTGATGTTAGGTTGTAGCTACTGTATTTTCATGTCCGTTTCCTGATAACACTGAAAAACATTATTTAGAAAGTTGTATGGGAATGTTATGTTTCAAGGTATGAAAGTATTTGGATTCACATGTTTTATGAAGGCAAAGGTCATACTGCAGCATGGGCAGTAAAAATAACTATTCTTATCTGTACTCAAGAGTCTAAATCTTTGAATATCATTTTGAACTATCAGGCATTGTCCTTTGAATTTAGGGAAGTCAACCATAGATCTCAGTTCCTCTAAAAACCTAAGTATCTGTTCATGGATTTGTGACAAGTTTTCTGGAATCATATGAGCAAAAGTATAAAACATTGCTATAAAATCTGAAGCACTGCATGCAGATGGACATCTTTAAGTAGTTGCTCTGGACTACCGTCAAGTGGTATCTCATGGATAAAACGCAAGTTACCATACTGTTGAAGGACGGCACTCTAGTTCAAAATCTTTACTCCACAGCCACTGACTCATGTATTTCTTCGTTCTCCATTCACAAAATAGGTCTAAGGACGCAGCTTCTTTCTTAGGCTAGATAAGACGCAATAGAGTGTACTGCTAGTTTAAAAAGAATTCATAGATCTTGATGCAGAGAAGGGAAACTTCCAATTTGTGAAGGCTCTTGCCTATCTAAAACCCCCAGGTCAAAACTTACCGACCGGAGGGAGGGGGAAACTAGAAAACTGCCCAAGTAGCCGCAGGAAGCACAGCGGCTCTCCCAGACATTTGGGTACTTGTTGACTTCTGGAGCGTCCAGTTCCCGGCAAGCCCCCAGCCCTTCCGGCGCCGTCGGGGTCCCCTCGGCGGTCCCGGGTCGGCTCCCCGCGCGAGCCAAGGTCACTGTCACCGCCGGCTGCCAGCTGAGCGCGGAGGCCGAGCCGGAGCCGCACGGTGGCCCGCGGTCCTCTGAACTTTGTACACCGCGTGACTAGGGCGGACGGAGCGGGGCCCGGCCTTGGGCGAGGGTCCTCGGATCGCGGCACGGTGCAGTCCGAGCCCCGCACGCCGCCCCAGGGAGACCCCGCCGTTCCGCGCCTCGGCTCGCCGTCGCAGCTCTGCTCCACTCGGCCGCCCGCGCTCCGCGGGAGGAGCCGCGGTGACGCGTCAGGGAGGAAACGCCGGCGCCCGGCGGCCCTGCCGGGAAGAGGAACCGCGAGCGCGCTGGGCTCTGCGCCCAGGCGCCGGGACGCCGCGCTGCAGGGTAGGTGAGGGCCGGCGCGGCAGGGGTGGGAGCCGGGGCTCGGGGCCTTGGCGGCCGCACGTCCCAACACGCAGAGACCCCGGAGTCGACCCCGCTCAGCCCGCAAGGCGCTTTGTGTCCTCCCGGAGGTCTCGGCTCGGGAGCGCGGGGCTGCGCGGGGGCCAGCGGCCGCGGAGCCCACCCGAGGGGACCTGGCCACCTGCGCCACTGGGCTGGGGCGGCCCCGGCCAGGAGGGGGTCGGATCCTGTGGCTCGACCTGTTCCTACGAGACTTGAAGCGTCGCTGCTCTTTCTAAGTTCTCAGATTTGAACCCTTCCGGGCGCTTTTTTTGAGGATTCTCAGTTTAAGCCCTGGCATGCGCCATCCAAAAGCGCGCTGAGATTTTCAGATTTTGTCAGTCTTTAGTGATGATGCTTTGGAGCAAATAAAATAAAATAAAATGAGAGAGAGAGAGAGAGAGAAGAGGAGAGAGGAGAGAGAATGTGGTACTTGAAACAAAGTGTTTGCCTTGATTTTGTACCGAATGCCGAACCATCAGTTCGGAGAGGCTATGCCAGCCGCACTCGAGATTCAAGAATAAATGCAAAGCACTCCAATTTCAAAATCTCTGTCAGGGTGAAAAATAACCTGTTAGGTATTTTGATTCTCTCCCTCATCACTGGGTTGACTGTTTACCCAACCTGCCTGGAAAGTGCCCTCTTTATTTACCAAACACAGCTCTTTCTATGTATTGGGCCCTTTTCTAAGTGCTTTATAACTATTAACTCAAATTCTTAACTCGAAATATTAAGTTATAGTGATTGTAGCCGTGAAGGGACCATGGATACTTTAGTTCCCCGAATGTCATAGAAAGAAATGGAAACAGAAATTTCAGGCACGTTTTAGGACTGGGTGTGCCTTTTGGCCCCCTTGGCCACCACACCCATAAAGCTAGTTATCACCCCTCATTCCCTGAGGGAAGTGAGCCTTGAGCTCCAGGAACTAGACTTGTTGCAGGCAGGTTTCAGGCCAAATCCCACGTGGCTCTGGGTAGTGGTCCCTCTTGTCCACAATCTTGTCGGCCAGTCAACTCAAAAGAACAGAACTTCCCTTTCTTTAACTGCCACTGCACTGAGCCTAGTTTTATTTTTAAAAGGAGTTTTGTTATGATCTGTTTGACAATTCATATGACATGGCTCAGATGGGAACATCAAATTGAACTTGAACAATAAAACAGAATGTTTTTGTTTGTACACATTAACATAAACAGTGTTTTGTAATTTTGGTGCTGCACCCTGTTGGTAACACGGAGTTGGTGGATAACTCCTGTAAGGTGTCCATTTTGTGATTTGCAGCTTATATAGACAGGGTGTTTTTCCAGAAAATATGCCCTTTTCAAATGAGTATTTTGGGCCCGATGCCTAGACTGGTAGAGACCTGGCATGGTGAATAAACAAGACTGACATAGTTTTTGTCATTGTGGTGATTACAAACATAGTATAAAAGTCTGTGCGTCATCCCTGTCTCCCTTGGTGCCGCTCTCTTTCTCCTATTTTTATTTCCTGTGAGGTGATTAAATAAGATAAGCCTGATTTAATAAGATTATAAAGTGTCTTGAACAGGAAGGCTCATGTTCCTCTGTTATAATTTATGACACCACAGACATTTGTGCTCAGGAATTAAATTGTTCCAAACATCTACCACAGAGTGCCTAGACATTTCATTATCTTCAGAGAGACATTGTGAGGTCAGTAGCTATTTTTTATTCCTATTTGCACAGGTGAAGAAATGGAGGCAGAGAACTGTTAATGTGCTTTAAGCACTATTTGTGAAGCTAGTGGGAGGCAGAGCTCAAATGCAGTATGTGTGTGGACAGGGCCTGGCACGCGCAGGCCTGTAATAAATATTTGTGGAATGAATGACTTCAGACTGCTTGCTCTTTCAGAACACACCTCTCAAAATGCCATCGTAATTGATTTGTGCTGAAGAGATTTCCGGCCTAACCCAATGCTTCTCTGATTTCAAACAGCATCTGACCCAATACCTTTCCTATAAAAGGGACAGAGCTTCCATTTGGACTCTAGGATTTATCATCTCTGGATCATCTCTGGTTTTTGAAAAAGAAAATAGCTTGGTGGTTGGGTGTCGTCAGGGGCATGTATAGGTCCATTCTGTGCCCCCCCCCCAATCTAACATCCTATCCCTTTTTCTCTAATTTTGAGAGGGTTTAGATTGGACAAGTGATGTTAGTATCTGTGTTGACAGCCTTCTTATACCTATCTCTAAGTTGCTCAGATTTATGAGCAAGTTCAAATACAATGATCACAGGCATTCTAGTTTTTCCTGAAGTGTCTGACATTGCTATGTGTGTTTTTTTTTTTTTAATGTTTAAAGTATCTTTTTAAAAAGCAGAAAAATGGGCTGGAGAGGTGGCTTAGCAGTTAAGAACACTGACTGTTCTTGCAGAAGACCCAGGTTTGTATCCCAGCACCCACATGGCAAATAACAACTGTCTGTAACTTCAGTTCCATGGAATCCAACAGCCTCTTCTGTCCTCCATGGGCATTGCATGACATGGATACACTTACTTACATGCAGGTATAACATTCATACACATAAAATAAAAATAATAAATAGAATTTTTTTTAAAAAAGCAAAAAATGCTCATTTATTTCTATCCTTCAATCGTAGCCCTCTGTATCCTAAAGTACAAGGTCCCCAGATGGATTGCCTTCATAGAGAACATGGTCACTAGCTGGTGCAGTTGAGAAGGGATGTCAGGGTGAAATGAAGGAGGGCATGGCCTTTCCCATGGGAGATATTAGGTGGTGAAGAAACCCTTAATGAAGCCAGACTGAGTCACCTGCCTGTCAGCCTTCCCCGTGGGGGTGGAATAAAACACTTTTCAAACCTACCTTGTGGCAGAAACCACTTCACCATTTCCAATCTTCATGCTTCATGTTTTCTCTCTTTTTAAACTTCATGTAAATTATGGACTAAACTGCTGATTCATGAAACTCAAATTATATAACACATTATTCCTGACAGAAACAGTTCTCACATTATTTTAAGTGAAGCATGGCTCTGTTTTTCTTTACCTGTTCCATTCCTGATGGTGAAAGCGCTGATCTCATTTCACCATCCCCCCGCCAGTGATACATCCCCCTCTTATAGTTCACATCAATATAGTTTTTTAACTTGAAACTAGTTTTCCATTAATTGTTGTTGCCAAGAAAGATGTGGAATAAGATGTTAAAGATCAGTTCAGAGCATCAGCCTGCAGAGGCTGAGGCTGACGGCTTCAGAGAGAATTAAATTAGTGCACAGCATCCTTGCCCTTGTTCAGTTTCTCACGTCCTTTCTAGTTTTTCATGGGTCCTGTAAATGTGTCCACCTTTATCTCTGTGTATCCACAATTCTATTCAAAACCAAGCTGGGATGTAACTCAATTAGTAGAGTGTTTGCCTGGTATGCCTGAAGCCCTGGCTTCGATCTCCGTTGTTGCCACCAAACAAACAACAATAAAAACCCAACAGAACACTGTCTCATTCCTGTAGTCTTAGCACTTAGGAGGCTGAGGTACAAAGAGCTTGAGTTTGAGGACAACCTGGGCTACGTTGCCAGACCCTGTCTCAAAAACAGACAAAGCTCAGTGTTCCCCTTGTGTAGGATTATGGGTAAGTGAAAGAGGTCATAATTTGATAAGAATTGTTGTAGGCAGATGGACTGATCGTGTGTAAGATGGAGAATAGGTATGTGGGTGAAATAGGAGATGTTAGCGAGAGTCTGTAATGAAGGAGTCCTGTGCAGTACAGCTCGATTTCTGCCATGGGGACACAGGGAGACCCATAGGATACTGACGTCTGGGAAGGACAAGAAATACCTACTGGCATGATAAGATAGAGCACAGGCAGAGTTTCTTTGTACCTGCAAGTCAAGTGCAGAAGTGTTCTTACAGGAAGTTCGTTCTTCTGGTCATGAAGTGAAGACTTTGCAGATAATTAAAAATATAGAGAGGTGATTTAGTGGCTTGCAACTTAAGAGCAAGGGTGATTTGGGGTTAAATAAATGGCCTGGATTTTGTATATTTTTAAGGGTTTACTCCTTTTAGAAAATGTCTGTAATATTGAGATAATGCCATTCTTTGCTCTCAATTTTGAAGAAAAACACTGTATTTACATAGCATGTACTAATGAGCATGATTCGGGTTAACTGCTTCCATTCTGTTTCCTGATACATACATAGTATGTGGCGATATGTATGCTTGTGTATGCGAGTGCATGTGTGTGAATATGCATACATGTCTATGTGCAGGTGTGTGTACATGTGTGTGAGGTCAGATATTAACCTCAGGTGTCAAGTCCTCAGGAGCTGTCTCTCTTTTGAGACAGAATCTCTCTCTGGGAATTTTCCCATTAGGCTAAGTTGACTGGCCGTTGAGCCCATGGAATCTACCTATTTTTGCCTCCCCAGGGCTGGAATTATAAGCACATGCTACCACACCCAGCTTTTTACATGGGTTCTGCACATTAAACTTGGGTCCTCATGCTTGCATGCAAGCCCTTTACTGACAGTGTTATTCCCAACACCCCTTTCCCAGTTTCTTGGCAGGCCAAGTGTTTACCAGGCCAACCAATACCAAACATTCTGTTCTTTAGGTAAAATGGATTTCATATAAAATGTGCATCTACAAAATATGGGACTCTGGGCTTAGGAAGATTGCTCAGTAGGTAAGAGCACTTGCTATTAAGGATCTGAGTTTGAATCCTGCACTCATACAAAAAGCCAGCCATGCCTATAACTCTAGCATTGGGGCATGGAGGCAGGTGGATCCTGAGTGCTCATTGATTACCCAGCCTAGCCAAGAAAGCTAGGCTCCAGTTCAGTGAGAGACCCTATTCCAAAGAGATGAGTCAGAGTGATAGAGGAAGACAGAGGGGCTTGTTGTGGCTTCTGCATGAACTTGCACAGGTGTGTGCACCTATAGAGTCACAAACATATAGCACACACATACACCACACACATACGTATACACCACACACACATAGACACACAGACATACCCACATACACACCACACACATACCCCCCCCAATTCATATGGATTCACCGTTCGACAGGATTAGCTAATTTAATCTCCAGACTTCTGGATGAAACTTCCTAAATAGTTTGTTTATTTGAGTTGAAATTGTTCTAGTTACTTAATTTTTACTTTAAAACTTTTTTTTTTGAGATGGAGGGTCTTATCATGTTACTTAAAGGGGCTTCCATCTCCTGGCCCCAAGATTCTTCTGCCTCATCCTCTTGAGTAGCTGGGACTATAGGCACATGACAATATGCCCAACATTATTCTGTCTTTTAAAATATTTTATTATTATTTTTATTTTATGTGTATGTATGTATTACCTGCATGTAGGTAAGTGCACCCGTGTCGTGCAATGCCCGCAGAGGACAGAAGAGGCTGTCAGATCCCCTGGAACTGGAGTTATGGATAGTTGTTAGCTGCCATGTGGGTGCTGGGATTCAAACCCAGATCTTCTGCAAGAACAACCAGTGTTCTTAACCACTGAGCCATCTCTCCAGCCCCTATTCTGTCTTTTAAATAAAAGTATATTGGGGCTGGAGAGATGGCTCAGCAGTTAAGAGCACTGACTGCTCTTGCAGAGGACCCAGGTTTGATTCCCAGCACCCACATGGCGGCTACGAACTGTCCTTAACTCCAGTTGCAGGGGAATCCGAAGCCCTCTTCTGAACTCCACAGCATTGCATGACATGAGTGCATTCACATACATGCAGGCAATACACTCATACACATAAAATAAAAATAATAAAGTGTTTTTTAAAAGCATATTAACGTTGCCAGGCGTGGTGGCGCACGCCTTTAATCCCAGCACTTGGGAAGCAGAGGCAGGCAGATCTCTGTGAGTTCAAGGCCAGCCTGGTCTGCATAGTGTTCCAGGACAACTGGGGCTACATGGAGACCCTGCCTCAAAAAAAAAAAAAAAAGACAAAAAAAAGTATATTAAAGTTGACTTGGTTGTGGTGGTTCGTATTTGTAATACCAGCACTTGGGAGGCAGAGAGAGGAGAAGCATCAAGAGTTTGAAGCTAGCCTGGGCTACACAGCAAGACCATCTTTAAAAATGAATTAATTTTAAATTATTGAGTTTTCAATTCAGCATCCACATACATGGACAAGTCCATGTAGGACAAGTATATAAACAGTACATACATGTATGAGATAGTATGACCTTCTTGGGGACTGGGGAGATGGCTCAGTTGGTTAAATGCTTGCTCCACAAGCATGAGGACCTGAATTCTATCCAATCCCAAGTACCCATGTAAAAAGCTAGGTGCTTCAGCAAGTGCTTGTAATCCCAGTGCTAGGGAGGTGGTGCACAGGAGGATCCTGTGAGCTTTCTGACCAGCAAGTCTGGCTGAATTGGTGAGCTAAGGTTCAATAACAGGTCCTGTCTCAAAAAACAAGGTGGAGAGTGATTGAGGAAGACAGCTAATGTCAACAACCTCTGGCCTTTCAGTGCATGTACCCTTACACACACACATATACACACACATACACCCACCACAGAAATAAAGAGAGAGAATGATAAAGATCACTAGTAAGCCTATCACTCCTAAATAACCACTCTTACTAGCATTTTAAAATATAATCTTTTATGGGGATGTATGGGAGGAGTTGGAGGGGAGGGAGTGGGCATGGATTTGATCAAAACACTTTATATACATGTATGAAATTCTCAATAAATTATTTATGTAAATAAAAAAATATATATAATCTTTTAGACTTGTTTGTATTCACATATACATATGTTCTGTGCCCATTTTGTCACCTTGTACTTCAGGCTATCCTGAACCTCCTCTCATAGGCAAGTCTGGGCTTTAATTCGGAACAATCCTCCTGCCTCAGTCTCTAAAGTACTGGGGTTGTAGGTGTGGGCTCCATGCCTGGCATTCCTTGCCATTTAAAAGCGTTTATACAGGCTTGCTTTGCTGGCTGGAGACTCATGCTTCTATAGATGTCCGACGTCAGAGATTCCATACACCTTTGAACCAGTTGCTTTTTTGTGTTTCCTGGCCAGCTCCCATACCCCAAACCTGGCTGACATGCTTGGAAATTTATACTACTGCTCATAAAGAGGATGAGGTGAGGGCGTGTGGACAGAGTGACAAATTCAGCTTAAACAGCGTCAAACACACATCCTTTGATGGGGGTCAGCTATTTGTATCGTCAGTGCATCTAAAATGCATGATATTTAAGAAAAGAAGTGATGGAGTATTTGCATATCATTGATTATAATCACTAACGAGAACAGAAATTATGGATCTGAACCAAGGGAAAATGTGGCTGTTCTGAAGTTCAGCTAGAAACAAGATGAACTTGAGCTGTTTTGAAATGTTCTCCTAAGCGTAAATTTGAGGTAACTGGTTTGACAGTGCTGCCACCAATGTAGTTAGGTGACCTTGACATTTCTTATGATCCTAGTTTAGTGTAGGGTGCCTTTAGGGGTAAGTAACCCCTGGTAGAAGTTCGTGCACATATTCCCCCTTTACTAATGCCACCAGCGTCTGCCTGTGTTGACATCTCTTCATTCCCACCAGTACACAAGTAACCACCCACACCTGCCTCCTCTAGTGCTTTGTGGTTCTCTCTCCTTTCTGGGATCTCTCTCTCTCTCTCTCTCTCTCTCTCTCTTTTTTTTTTTTTCTTCTAGCTTTTGCATCAAGCAAATCGCTCTATCCCTTCTCCATCTCGGTCTTCATTTTGATCTTGAGCTAAAAAAGATACTAATTACAATGGTTTGCTGAAGATCAGGCCTTTAATAAGGAAAGGAAAGCTTTTAGTTTGGGAGGAAAGGTAGATATTATGAAGAACGAGTGGTTTCAGCCTTCAAAGCCCTTGAGAATACCCAGTAATTCCTTTCAAAATATCCACAGAAATTTCCACCCACCCCCTCATCTCGAAATAAGCTGTTTTTCCTTAAGCATTGGTATGAACTAAAAACTTTGAAACTATATGTTTTTTGTCCATATTATTGCAACAGTATTGGTTTGTGTGATTTTTTTTTTTTCTATTGAAGATTTCAGCCCTATGTAGGGTTAAATAGAGTGTTTGGTCTGGAAAGATAACTCCAAGGTATGACACTATTCCCTTTAGATAATACATCCAAAGTTCAAAGTATCTGTCTTAAAAACAACTTTTTGGTTATTTGTTTTCAAATAGTTGAAGATTAAGGCTACCCCAGGCCAAAGGTTATTGATCTTTGAGAAGAGGGATATCAAGATTCTAAACTCCTTCCTTCCAGATTTTCATCAGTAGGTACACACAGGTGAGATCTGGGATTTGCCTGGATGCTCCAGGGTCAGAGAAGAAGCAGTGTGTTTGAACAGTGCTGGGGCCCTGCCAGAGACATACACAAGAACACAGGTGGCAGCTCAGATATAGGCAGCTGTCCACACTCTGAGTTCAGCTCACCTGTGAAAGCGCTTAGGCCAAACACTGTGAGAAGCTTCACAAGAGAAAGCTGCACAAGAGAAAGGACTTAGGTTTCATAACATTAGTAGATTTTTGAAAAGGTGTTTTTATTCAGCTTCCCAACCTGGTGCTAAAATTGAGACATGAATGTACTATATTGTTTGCTTATTTGGACTGGGAACATTGTTAACACACATTCAGAATTAAGACTATATAATTTTTAAAATTATTTTCATTTTTCTTTTTTTACATTTGTTTAGTGTGTGTGTGGGGATTTGTCATGGGACATATGTGGAAGTCAGAGGGAGTTGGTTTCTCTCTTTCTGCCATGTGGGGATCAAACTCAGGCCATCAGACTTGGCACCAAGCACCCTTACCCACTCAGCCATCTTCCTGGCCCTGGCGGTTTTTTTTTTTTTTTAATGAGTGTTTGTAGTCTTACATAGTGAATAATGTATTAGGATATGAATATTGTTCCATCTTTTCTCATCAATGTTTGGTTTAGTTTTCTTATTTGTAAGGGATTTTTTTAAATTAATGAAAGATAAAGTACTCCAATATTTTAGCAGAGCGTTTTTAGTATTTTTTTATTATTTATTTAGTTACCTATTTTTATTGTGTATGAATATTTTGTCTGCATGAATGAAAGCACACCACATGCATACAAACCCATGGAGGTCAGAAAAGGGCATCAGAAACCCTGGAAATGGAGTTACAGACAGTTGTTAGCTGCCATGTGGGTGCTGGGAACCAAACCTGGAACCTCTGTAAGAGCAGACATTCCTCTTAACTGCTGAGCCATCTTTCCAGCCCCAGGTTTTAGTATTTCTAAGATTGCTGGCCCTCTTTTCTTTTTGATTTTTGTCTTTCTTAGAATTCCATTACTTCTGGCTCCCAGTAACATTACCATCATCTATTTCAATTCCTCCTTTTTTTTGCATGTGGTTTTTAAAAAATATTAAATTTATTTTTAACTGTGTATATGTGTGTGGGTATATGGCTGGCTATGTGTACCTAGAGAGGTTAGAATGGGGTGTTGGCTCCCCTGGAGCTGGAGTTAGAGTCAATTTTGAGCCACTCAATATGGGTCCTAGGAACCAAACTCCAGTCTTCTGCAAGGTCAGCAGGTGCCCTTAACTGCTGAGCCATTGTGGAGTCTCTTGTATTTTTTTGTTGTTTTGTTTTTATCTTTTTAAGACAGTGTCTCCTTGTAGCCCCAGCTGGCCTGGAACTTTCCATGGCTATGGAGACCAGGTTGGCCTCAATCTCACAGAGATCTGCCTGTCTCTGCCTCCTGAGTGCTGGCATTAAAGGGGTACGCCACCATGTCTGTATTTGTAGGCCTGATTTTTTTGAAACAGTCTTACTATGTATCCTTTCTGTTTCTTTCTCTCTCCCTCTCCCCACCCCCTTCTTTCTTTCCATCTACCTCCTCCTTACCTAACCATCCATCTTACCTTATATAAATCTTAATGAAGTTGCTGGGTTTTTGTTTAAAAACACTACATATATAGTCACGTCTCAAAGGATGAGTAGTATTTTTCCACCACCTTGCCATGTATATTAGTTACTTTTGTGTTACTGTGACTGAAATACTTGGCAGAAACAACTTAAAGGAGGAAAGGTTTGTTTTGGCTGCTGGTTTCAGAGATTTGAGCCCATCATCATAGAGAAGGCATGCAAAGGGTATGGTTGGCCCTCTTCAGATCCTGGTAAGTCAGAAAGCAGAGAGAGTACCTGGAACTACAGGCAGGTATAACCTTCAAAGGGCTGCCCTAGTGACCTACTTCCACCAACCAGGCCTCATCTTTTACAGGCTCTTCAAACTTCAGAATCACACCACGAGCATTATCTAAAACACGAGCCTTGGGGGACATTTCATTTTCAAACTGTGACACCATCCATGGCTTTGTTCCTCTCTGCTGTCAAGTGCTCTGACTGCAGTTCATTGTGAAGCCTCCATTAGAACATTCTGATACCACAAATACAGCCAAATCTTGAGTTTTTGTTGACTTACTGAAAGAAGCATTTAATTGAAATCATTTGTAGTATTCTGCCAACTGTGTTCTCACTTGTTTCCAAACACAAGTATTAAATATTACCAGCATAATTAATGCAAAATTACTTTATTGTACCCCAAGATATCTGGAATTATTGTCATAAACAGTGTACTACCTACTTAGGATTATATGTTTGATGCTTTTGGAAAATAAAAATCAATGTTTAATATTTAGATAATTCTTTCCTTTTTAATTGTATACACTAGGCCAAGTATTTTCTTTCATAAGGATTTTTGTGGTTTTAACATTTGTGATCTGTATTGCACCTTGCAGAGTCAAGAGAAAGGAACTGATCTTATTGAATACCTACCATTTGCTAGGGGCATTAGGAATATCATTTTATTAAAAAGCCACAACAACCCTGGGTTAGGTAAGTAGTTTTATTTGCAGATGGACACACTGAGGCTTAGTGAGGCCTCAGAGGTTACTGCTGTGGTCAGCATGGGGCAGAGCTAACTCATCTGTGTGGGTCTCTTCAGCATTACCACTAGGTCCCCCCATGCTATTGATAAGGGGGTAAAATGACTACCCTTGGAAAACACTGGTAGAATTAATTTAGGAATAATTCAGATAACTGCTGATAAAGCAGTGGGTAAGCGGGGTTTGAAAATGGGTTCTGCATTCTTTATTATTCTGAAAAAGCTTTAATGTTTTAGTTTAGAAACTGGTACCAGATTTCAAGAAGAACTCTGACTGAAGATGCTTTAAATACCTTATAATTTCCGTCTAATAAAAAAAGACAAAATTCTGGATTTAAAAGTTGGTTGTGATCCAGGCATGGTGGTGCATGCCTTTAATCCCAGTACTTGGAAGTCAGAGGCAGGCAGATCTCTGTGAGATCAAGGCAGCCTGGTCTACATAGTGAGTTCCAGGTCAGCTGGGCTACAGGGAGAGCCTGTCTCAGCCAGACAAACCAAAACCCTGGTTGTGTGAAATCTTGAACGTACAGACTTTGAATGTCTTGTGTTATTGTTTCCCAAACTTCGAGACTCTTGCTATTAGTAACCAATGACCACTGACCTTGCCAGCGATAACAAACACTGCTGTCATATTTTAAAATTACGAAGACACCAACACCACTGTCCTAGTTTGTTTCTCCATTGCTGTGACAAAACACACTAACCACTACCAACTTGGGGAGGAAAGGGTTTATTTGTCTTACGTTTCCCAGGTCACAGTTCATCAGGGAGCCCAAAGTAGGAACTCAGGGCGGGAACCTGGAGGCAGGAGCTGGAGCATAGGCCATGGAGAATCATTGCTTACTGGCTTGTTCCCCTGGCCCCTGCTCAGCCTGCTTTCTTATGCAACACAGGCCCACCTGCCCAGGGATGGCACCACCCACAGTGGGCTGGGCCCTCTCATATCGCTCAACAATCAAGAAGGTGCCCCATGGACATGGTCACAGGCCAGTTCAATGAAGGCACACCTCCACCCAGGTGTGTCAAGTTGACACTAAAGCTATCCAGCACAACCACTTATATTAATTCTCAGAAATAGAGCAAGTAACTTTGCTTTTGAGTTGTTGCTTGGCAGATACTGTGATGAACTCCTTTCCACTAAGGAAAGATAATGAACAGTTTAGGTTTAAAAATCTCTTATATTTAAATATATAATCATTCTAGCTAATAAAATGTAAATACATCTCTGAGTGAAGATGGCGTTGTGGTCTGAATGTGTCTTCCAAAGTTCATGATTGGAGAGTTAATCACTAAGGCAACAGTGTTGAGAGGTGGGGTCTTTGAGAGGGATGTTTAGGTCCCAAGGTCTCTATGTTCCTCAAGTGGATTAATGCCATTATAAAATGGTTTATGGGAGTGGGTTGGCGTTCTTCCACTCTTCTGCCGGATACAGGGTTGGACCCTGTTCATCTTTTCCACCTCCTGTCATGTGAGGACATAGCAAGGAGGCCCTTACCAGATGCTGGCACATTGTTTGTGAACTTTAACCACCAGAAATGTGAGAAATTTCCTTAAAATAGACCCAATCCAGATATTCTGTTATGATGGCACAAGCTGACTAGTACAGATGAGAAAAGATGCTGGACGAAGCATACATTTGGGAAAGCTTAGAAAGATGTTACAGTAAATGGAGAAACTAGTAGACTCTATAATATTTATGTTGTAAAACAGCTTTATTTAGATACATTTCACATGCCACTAAGTTTGTCCTTTCAAACCACAATTCAGAGAGCCAGATGTGGTGGTGTTGCATGTCTGTAATCATAGCACTTGGGAAGCTCAGGCAGGAGGATCAGGAGTTCAAGATCAGTTTCTGCTGTGTGATGAGGTAGAGGTCAGCCTGTGCTACCTGAGACCTTTTCTCAAAGAACAAAAAAGCCCACAGTTCAGTGGTTTATTTGCCAAGGTATGCAGTTATCACCAGTCCTTAATTCCAGAACTGTCATCCCCTAAGAAGAAACCCTAGACCCCTTATCAGTGATTCTCACCCCAAACTCCCTCCACCCCTGGCAGTAGCAAATCTGCTCTGTCTTTGCATATTTGTCTGTTCTGGACATTTTGTAAAAATAGCACCATACAATGTGTCGTTCCCCCATTACTGGTTTATTTCATGTAGCACAATATTTTCAAGGTTCATCTGTGTTGTAGCATGTAGTGCCTTATTTTTGTTGCTGAAAATTCTATCGTATAGATATACTGTGTTTTGCTTGTTCTTTCATTCGTTGAAGAACATTTGGATTGTTTGCATTTTGGGCTCTTAGCAATAATGCTGCTGTGAATATTTATGTACAACTTTTGCATGGCCATGTTTTCACTTTCCTCAGATGCATACCTAGGAGCAGAATTGCCGGGCCAGATGTAATTCTAGTTCAACTTTCTGAGGAATCACCAAACTGTTTTCTGGAGTTTCTGCCTTACTTCATAGTTTTCTTGTTAATGTATAAGGGTTCCTGTTTCTTTTTAGTTGTATTTTAAAAACTTATTTATTTACTTTTATTTTATATGTATGAGTGTTTTGCATGCACGTATATAAGTGCACCCATGTTGTACAAAGCGCTCAGAAGCCAAAAGAGGGCACTGGATCATCCCCTAGAACTGGTGTTACAGACAGTTGTTAGCCACCATGTGGGTGCTAGGAATCAAACATAGGTCCTCTGGAAGAGTAGCCAGTGCTCTTAACTCCTGAGACATCTCTCCAGCCCTAGTTGTATTTTTTAATAATTATTGTGTATGATGACAGGAGTGTGTGTGTGTGTGTGTGTGTGTGTGTGTGTGTGTGTGTCACAGTGTGCATGTGAAAGCCAGAGGACAGCTTTGTGAAGTAGGTTCTCTCCTAGTACCATTACATGGGTTTTGGAGATTGAACTTAGGACATCAGGCTTACTTAGCAAGCACTTTACCATGGAGCCATCTTGATGGCCCAAGGGTTTGGATTTTTTTCACATGCTCTCTAACATTTGTTATGTGACATTTTAACTATTTTAGTGACTGTGAGGTCATATTGTTGTTTTAATTTTCAATATTCTAGTAACTGTCCGTGTTCTGCATCTTTTCATGTGCTACTTTGGCTAGTTCTAAGTTTTCTTTGGAGCAATATATGTTCAGAATCTTCATTTGTTTTCAAGAATGAATTGTCTTTTTATTGCTGAATTATAAGAGTTCTTTATATATTCTGGATATATCAGATACATGATTTACAAACATTTTCTTTTATTTTTCTGGTTTTCTCTTTCATGATAATTTTTTGTAAGCACAAAAGTTTGTCTTTGTGTGTGTATGTGTGCGTGTGTGTGTGTGTGTGTGTGTGTGTGCATGCTCACAACTTTCAGTACTTGTTTCTCTCCTTCTACCATGTGGATTCTGGGTATCCATCCAACTCAGGTCATTAGGCTTGGCAGCAAGTGCCTTGACTTGCTAAACCATCTTCCCAGCTTAGAAAGTTTTCATTTTTAATGAAGTCCCATTGATGTATAATTTTGTTGCTTTTTCTCTTCATGTCATATCATCTAAGAAATGATTAACTCAAGGCCACAAAAGCTTTAAAAACTTTTTTTACATTTGTGTGTGTATGTGTGGTGTGGTGTGTGTATGTGTGGTGTGGTGTGTGTGTGTGTGTGTGCACATGTGTGATTGAGCATGTGCCATGGCTGTACACATGGAGGCCAGAGGGCAATGTGTAAAAGTCAGTTCTCTCTTTCTGTCATGTGGGTCCTGGGGATAGAACTCAAGCTTGGCAGCAAGCACTGTTGCCCACTGAGCCATCTCACTGGCCCATGTCAGCTTTATGCTTTCATCCAGGAGCTTCATAGTTTGTTCTCTTAGTTTTGTGTCTATGATCATGTTGAGTTAATTTTTGTGGGGTAAGGGTCTAACTTCATCTTTCTGCACGTGGCTATCCAATAGTCCTAGCATTGCCTATTGAGTATTCCTCCCTTTACTAAATTGTCTTGATATTCTTGTCAAAAATTAATTAGCCCAAAGCATGAAGATTTACTTCTGTGCTCTTTGTGAAAGCCTAATGATTTATCTGTCTAGATTGATACCTGTGCCATACTGTCTTAATTAGCTCTAAGTAGCTTTGTAGTAAGTTTTGAAATTGAGAAGTGTGGGTTCTCTAATGTTCTTTTTCTTTTTTCTTTTTTTAAAAAATATTTTATTTTATTTTATGTGTATGGGTGTGTTGCCTGTATGCATGTGAGTGCACCCATGTTGTACAATGCCGTGGGGGTCAGAAAAGGGCTTCGGATTCCCCTGGAACAGGAGTTAAGGATAGCTCGTAGCTGCCATGTGGGTGCTGGGAATCGAACCTGGGTCCTCTGCAAGAGCAGTCAGTGCTCTTAACTGCTGAGCCATCGCTCCAGCCCCTCTAACGTTCTTTTTCAA